TTGGTTTTTTTAATAAAAAAAAAAAATAAACTTTTTTTTTTTTTTTTTTTTTTTTTTTTTTTGTTTTTGTTTTTTGTTTTTGTTTGATGATTTTGTTATTTTTCAGATCCGACCCGGTCAGGTTTGATTACGTAATCACGAAATTATCAAAAAATGTCATGCTATAACATTCCTTAAAAGAATAAGATAGTAATCAAGCTTAACTAGCAAATATAGGCTATAAGTTGATACTCTTACTTAATCAAAAAAATCCTTCCTTCGTTGGGGAAATTGGAGGGTTTATAAAACTTGATCAGGTGACCATTGACCGGATCTCAGTTTCTCGTGCCGGAAGTGTATATAAAAATTTTGCAACCTTCCCAAGGCATCTTCGTTTTCCTATACATTGTGCTTGTTATGAGATCAGAGTTGAAATCTACCTCATATCTTGGGAATATGGGTTAATTGTAGATATAATGTAATTTCAAAGGATGCGTTAATAATTTTGGTGTTGGAAATTTGGTTGGATTATTACGAAAAAAATTTGCAGCCATAATGGTTGATCAGTGAGAATTGATAAAATGAATCGAAGACTATCACAATATTTCTCGAATGCAAGAAAATTCATCTCAAATCGTCAGCGGAGTTGAAAGATACAGTGGAATATTAAGATTGTCGACAAACCTACTCCCTAAAATTTCCAAATTAGTTAAATCTTAAAGTTATACTTTTCTACCCTCTAACCTTATTACACGAATGCCAGTCTGAAGAACCCACAGGAAGTAGAAAATACATAAACTGCAGAAGACAATGGGGCTACAAGATGCTTTAAAGTGGACGAATCCACAGGTAGTTGAGAAGCAAAAATGGAGTCTAATTAATAATAGGAACAGGATTTAATTATGCGCCTTTGAGGTAGATATGAGAGATGTTGACAGAAAATGAGGGGACAATTATGTTGCATGAATAAATTTTTTTTCTTCAATCAATAAATGATAATGAATTTTGGAGGGTTTAATTTGATTTAAGATGGAGGGGTTAAGAAGAAGTTATCTTTTATTGATTGTGGGGATAAGTTCCCCCTTTTTCATTACAATATGATAAGAAGATTAGAATCGTAAAGAAACAATAAGACACGACTCTCTAATTAAGAAAAAACAAAGGAAATGCGAAGAAAATTATTTCACATTTTTTTTTTACAGTTTTGAGATTTGAGAATGTATAAATACTAGGGGGGATCTCCGCCACTGATTCACAAGTTTTAGATTCCTTTTTTAATGCCTAGAGCATCACACTTATCTAAAGTCTTAAGTAATAACATCCCGAAAAGCAAAAAAAAGACTATCGCCATGCCTTATTACGCAGTTGCAAAAGGTTCTAAGACCGGAGTTTATACCAATTGGAATGATTGTAAAGAACAAGTTAATGGTTATAGTGGAGCCAGCTTCAAGAAATTCAGCACGGCATCTGAAGCTAGTGCTTTTGTAAATGGTGGTGGATCTGGTATTTCCTCCAGTAGTAGTTCCTCCCGTGGTGGATCAAGCAATAGTAGTAGCTCATCGAGTGGTAGTTCAAGTTATGGTGGCAACTCATCATCCCATAGTGGGTCAAGCTACTACAACAGTGGGTCAAGCTACTACAATAGTGGGTCAAGCTACTACAATAGTGGGTCAAGCTACTACGATAGTGGATCAAGCCACTACGGTGGTAGTACTGGGTCGTCATATTATGGATCTTCGACCGTTTCAAACGCAAATACGAGTAAAGTTTCCAAGCCTTCAAAACCTGCGGCACAGAAAGTATATGTCGATGGTGCATCTAGAGGAAATGGAAGACACGCCCATCCTGCATCTGGATATGGTGTGTATTATGGACCAGGAGATTCTCGTAATGCTGCAGTTCCTTTAAATGAGGTTGATCCTCCCTATATTAAACCAACCAATCAACGTGCCGAATTGCATGCTGCAAAGCATGCACTTAAGGATATTCATACTCATTTGACATCAGGGAAAGCTACTGGACCAACCCAAATTCATTCCGATTCTAAATATGTAGTCAAAAGTCTTAATGATTGGTCGGACAATTGGAAATCTAATGGATGGAAATCTACAACTGGTCGTCCTTTGGCCAATTCTGATTTGATTCAAGAAGCCGTGGCTTTGAAAGATAAAATCAATGATATCTATAAAGAGAAGAATTGGGGAAATGTTGAACTTGTTCATGTTAAGGGTCATGCTGGTGATGAAGGAAATGAGGCTGCCGATAGATTAGCTAATCTAGGTGCCGATAAAATGAAAGGAAGAAAGTGATAAAGTCCCATAGAATATAATATTATTATAAATAGGGTTATTTAATAGCCTTTTATTTAGAGATATAGTTTAATTATTTAAAAATTTCTTATGAATGAAAGATATCAAGATGACTTAATCCATATTTCTATATATGATTATATATAATTAGAGACAAACAAAGCTACTCACTTTTGGCATTTTATGTAATATAGAATAACTTTATCAAGCAACAAGAAGCATATCTAGACAGAATAAAGATAATTTTTTAATAAATATAATTATTTAAGCTCATGTAAAATTTCTTCAAGGGCAATAAGGAAATGGTCAATGTGACCTGCAGAAACAGAGTATCCCATATGTCCAACTCTGAAATATTTTCCAACCAATGCTTTATGAATACCACCAGCAATAGTGAAGCCATTTGCATAGAGCTTTGATAATAATGCAGCACCATCGATACCTTCTGGGAAATATACTGCAGTTAATCCATGAGCAGCAACTTGACGAGATTTTGGAAGAATAGTCAAACCCAATTTTTCAACTGCATCCTTGAATTTTGTTGAGACTTGTTCATGATGAGCAAATCTAGCTTCCAAGGATTCATTCAAGATTTCATCAAGAGAAACTTTCAACGCAGTAATTGTTTGAATAGCAGGAGTTGCAAAATATGCTCCTTTACCACTTTCATAAGCTTTCATGATAGGTGTCCATCTCTTTAAGGAGGCAAAGAATGTTGTTTCTTTCTTGTTTAAAGCAATCTCAAGTGCTCTTCCAGATGCATATACAATGGATAAACCTGCTGGAACACCAATTGCCTTTTGAGAAGCAGTTAATGCAAAATCAATACCCCAAGCATCAAATTCTAAATCTTCAACAGCAATTGAACAGACTCCATCAACAATGATCAAAGTTTCTGGAGCGACTTTTTTAACAACTTCGGAAATAGCCTTGACGTCACTAACAACAGAAGTAGAAGTATCTACATGAGTGATAGTTATGGCTTTAAATTTATCCTTCTTCAATGCTTCTTCAACTTTTGCGAGTGGAACAACATCACCGACTTCAGCAGTAATGACAGTGACATCAGCACCATAGATACGTAAACAATCAGCAAAGGAATCGGAGAAGAACCCCGTGGATAATACCAATACCTTATCACCAGCTGAAATCAAGTTAGTAGCAGCGATATCCCAACCTAAAGTTCCAGATCCACTTAAGACATAACCTTGAGAATTTGGATCAGTTGATTTAAATACTTTACGTAAGTTTTGAAGTACTGATTGAAAAGTGGCAATAAATTCTGGAGAAGTATGTGCTTGAGAAGGAGTTGACATTGCTCCGAGAACTGGATCCGAGAATTCAATTGGACCAGGAATTAAAGTTAATCTATGTTCTGGTTGTTTGAAAGTCATGTTTGCTGTTTGTTGTATTTAGGAGTGATATAAAATGATCTTATAGAAAGAAGAGAGAAGAAGAAGAAGAAGATAAAGTGTTCTAGAAAAATAAAATTTGACAGGAGAAGGAGAAATTGGGAAAATTGAAAAATCCGAAAAATTAAGATTGATAATTTATGGTGGGGCAGTTTTACACTTTTTTATTATTTTTTTTTAGTGATAAATTTAAAACTTCAATTGTTTTTTTATTCCGGGGAAAAATTACAATTAATAAATCAACTTCGTTCCGAGGGTATTTCCAAATATGGAATATATAAAGAGACTGGCTTATCTTGAAGGACATTCTAATATGCCGCAGTCACATTATTCAACAACAATTGAGGTTTCAAATTATCGCCAATCTCAAGAAAAGTGACTCCTTCTAAGATAAATTACTGGGATCTTTCAATTTGTGGAATATAATTACATACAGGTCTATTCAACGTCGGTCTCGAAAAAGGATTATACAACTTTCTGAAAAATTGGTTATTTAATCAATGCAACCAAGATGAACAGATTCAAATGGAAACATTCCAATCGAGAATTCTCACCAGTTTGCTTTTCCCAATTGTATGAAAGAGTGGAGTATAATTCTCTTCTCTCTGGCAGAGCTTAACTATGCAAGGAATTCTCCTGCGATTACTTTTTTTCCTCTGATGATCCATCGTTAAATGTATGACAGAAAACAGGTCTGGTTGTCCCAAGGCAAGCTAATCAAAACAAATTCATCCAAGATGTCAGAGTCAGTTGAAGATTTATTTCTGAGTCAATTAAAGCAAATCCAAGCTTCATTGTTAAAACAAAACTCAACCAAAGAAGAAGATTCTGTCCCCATAATAAAAATATCTAAAAATGATTCCATGAAACGAAAAATTGATCAAATTACAACCAATCTTCAGAAGAAAGAGATAGTCATAATAGCAAGTTATTCCAATGGTATACCGAAACAGATATCTATAACAGAAATAGTAAAACAACAACTAAAAGACAATGGAAAAATAGTGAAACAATTCAATAAATTATCCAAGTTTGAATCAATATCAAATCCAAATGAGAAGAAGAAGCCAGAAAAGGAACCCACGGAAGATGATGAAGCATACAAGACTTGTTTGGAAAGTATTCGTAGTCCTCATATGTTTATATTACCAACTATGTATATTCTCCTTACTGTGGGTGAGCTGGTTGACCAGTTTGACCTCGGAGGATGGACAATTCAATAGATAATAGCACATTTTTTTCTATAGAGATCCATTATCATTGGAGTAAGTATTAATAGATAATTAAAGTTGTTGTTCTTTCGTAGTTTTGCCTTTGTAGATGTTGAGATGAGTTGGCTGCTTACACATGGGTCTGATCACGTGAGTAGAATATTTAACCAATAAAAATTCCCCATAATAATCCCAAACAACAAGCAGCAAAAAAAAAAACCCATTAATAATATTTTCAATCGTAAGATGTGAAAAGAGAGAGAAATTAGAAATTTGATATTGAAATCTTTCTTTAACAACTTTCAATAAAGGTAAACACAAAACATGTCTGAAGGCTTTAAATTCGAAACTCCTCAATTCGACCCAAGATTCCCAAATCAAAACCAATCCAAGCATTGTGCTCAATCATACGTTGATTATCATAAATGTGTCAATGTTAAAGGTGAAGATTTCGAACCATGTAAGATTTTTTTCAAAACCTTCACTTCTTTATGTCCACTTGATTGGGTTGAAAAATGGGATGACCAAAGAGCTGCTGGTAAGTTCCCAATTGATTTAGATGCTTAATCAGACTATTTTTTATAACGAAATAATACAAGAGAAAGGTGCTATGAAGGGACGACCATACAGTCCAGAATTTTGGTTACAATTTTTTTATAGGTGTTTTTTAAAACCACTTCCTTTAGCCTTTGTATAATCCCTTTAATGAATTGAAAGCCAGTGTTTTTTTTAACTTAGTTTGATGTTTTGAAAGAAATGTTATTTGTTTATCATTTTTGGAACAATTCAAGTTTTTTATATGAATGTAAATCGATATCATTTTTTACATAGTTTTAATACAATTATTATGAATTTGAAGTATAAAGAGACTACTATACTTTCCAGAAGATTAAGGTAATATATAGATAGTCTACACAATGGGTTACCAGAAGTCTTCTTCTACCCAATTATCATTTCTGAATTCATTTGAGCTTTGCATATTATCTTGTCCAAACAAATCACCATATGGATCATCTTTAGATTTCTTTTGAGCTTCATATACTTTATTTAACTCCTTAGCTTCTCTTTCTTCAAGTTTTCTTTCATTTGCAATCTCTCTAATTAATGAATCTTGTTTCTTTATGAAATCCTCTGTTGATTCCTCAGTTTTGGTTTTATTCAAAGTATTGATTATAGAATTTTCTTTCTTTACTACATGGATACGTTTGACCAACTTTGGGTTTTTGAACGTTACAGTTCCAACATCCATTGAACCATCAGTATGTAAATTCTCTACTGGAGTATAAATTATGGTAATATTATTTAATTTATTTGCTTTTATTGAATTTGCCTTTGTGAGTTGAGCTATTTGAATTAATAAATCTTCTTCAATAACAAATTTGTCAAATGATTTGAATGACTTGATTTGTTCTTTGGTTAATTGAAGATAAAGATGTGCTGATGAATAATTATCAACATGAAACCAAATGTTTTTAGGATGTGAATTTTTAATAAGAGGATCATTCTCAAATTTATCTTTACCCATATAAATTATAGCAGTCGTAGGTTCACTTGGAGAGAAGGAAAAGTCAGAAAGCTCATCTTTATCTTTCGATACTTTTGCTTTAAAGTAGTAGACCATTTCTTATTGGGAATCTTGGTGACTTGTAGATGATCTAAAGAAGTACTGAATCAGAAAAATACTCTGCCTGAAAAATATAACGTCATCTCATCACGACACGCTGACTCACCATCACACACGTCTATATCTCTCTTACTGAGAAGACACATCCTTTATTAATTATTCAACGGAAGAAGACTTCCATCTCGTTCCTTTAGACTTCTAGTCTGTTGTGAAGAAATTGAAAATTAAACAAAAGCCTAAAATTACGAGAAAATTGGAAAGCCCAATTGCCGTTATGTTCTAAAACCACAGAATCAGGAGAATCTTATAGCCAAGAAGCACAACGGGAACAATTTGTTCCTCTTTTGGTTTCTCAAAGATAACGATTCACATTAGATGCGTTAATGTGCAGTGGTAAAAGGGTCTAGATTGCCTCATTGCACGCGACAAAGTTCACTATTGTGGAACAATCCGGAATATTCACACCTTTGGCTCCGATATTAAGTAAGGGGGGCAGAATGTGTATTTTTAAAGACATACCTTACATAATCTCTTTTTCTTCTTGTTAATTGACCTTCTATTAAGAACCGGGTATCTGATTACAAACTTCTCGTGACCACTATAGTCAAAAACCATCCCCCCGTAAAGCCCATTCTGAAATTTTCAAAAACTGTGGTTGAAAAAAAAAGACTATTTTTACAACGCCGACCCCGGAGTACAATTCTTTCATTCGACTCATAAATCTGAGAGTATAGATGTTTCGGACATTGCTTATTAGATCGGTATACAAGAGACACCCTGCAAGTGTCTTGAACACTATCAAGAATCGTCTACCTCATGTCAAATATGACATAACTCATCATGCCAAGCTACTATCCATAGATTCCACCAGACATTATGCAACAACTAATAAGGTTGAAAATAATAGTAAACCAACTACAACAACACCTATTATACAGCAACCTCCAGCAGCACAACAACCAACTTCTTCACCACAGAAAGCTTCGGCAGTTATACCGGACCAGAAACAGAAACAGCCTGATACTACTGATGACAGTGAATCATCATCCACATCTTTATTTGGCCGGAAAATTTCCACATCAGAAGTTTTCATGTTAAAATCTCTCTTATCCACAATTTGGCCCAAGAATAAACCATCATTTAAGATTAGAGTCGCAATAGCATTTTCATTACTTATAGGAGCCAAACTTTTAAATGTCCAAGTTCCATTTTTTTTCAAATCAATAATTGATCAAATGAATGTAGATTTTTCATCGGTAGGAACTGCTGGGATTGCCATAGGATCAATGATTTTCGCCTATGGTGGTGCTAGATTTGGAGCAGTACTTTTTGGAGAATTACGTAATGCGGTATTTGCCAGTGTTTCTCAAAGTGCCATTAAGAGAGTGGCATATAATACATTTGTAAGATTATTGCATATGGATTTGAATTTCCATTTATCTAGACAAACGGGTGGATTAACCCGTGCTATTGACAGAGGTACTAAGGGGATCAGTTATGTGTTATCGGCAATGGTATTCCATATCATACCTATAACATTTGAAATTACTATGGTTTGTGGGATTTTGAGTTATAATTATGGTGTTCCATTTGCAGCTGTGACTTTTTTCACCATGTTGGCATATTCAATTTTCACAATCAAGACCACTAGTTGGAGAACAAATTTTAGACGACAAGCTAATAATGCCGATAATAAGGCAGCAAGTGTTGCTTTAGATTCATTGATCAATTATGAAGCTGTTAAATATTTCAATAATGAAATGTATCAAGCATCAAAATATGAATCATCTTTAACTAAATATCAAAATGCGTCAATCAAGGTTGCAACTTCCTTGGCATTCTTAAATGCAGGTCAAAATTTGATCTTTTCTTCTGCTTTAACTGCCATGATGTATATGGGTTGTCAAGGTGTTGCCGATGGCTCATTAAGTGTCGGAGACTTGGTGTTGATTAATCAATTAGTATTCCAATTGAGTGTACCTTTAAATTTCTTGGGTAGTGTTTATCGAGAATTAAAACAATCATTACTTGATATGGAAAATTTATTCCAATTACAAAATGTTGATATAATGATTAAAGACAATCCAAAAGCAAAACCATTAAATGTGACTCATGGTGAAATTAAATTTGAGAATGTTACATTTGGATATCATCCTGAACGTCCAATTCTTAAAAATGCCACATTTACAATTCCACCGGGGGAAAAAGTTGCAATTGTTGGACCATCAGGTAGTGGGAAATCAACCATTTTACGGTTGGTGTTTAGATTTTATGATGTTACTGAGGGAAGAATTTTGATTGATGGGCAAGATATCCGTGATGTAACCCTTGAATCACTTCGTAAGAATATTGGAATTGTTCCTCAAGAAACCCCATTGTTTAACGAATCTATTCTTGAAAATGTCAGATATGGAAGATTGGATGCAAGTGATGAAGAAGTCCAAAGAATGATTGAATCGGTTCAATTGGATAAATTGATTAAGGATTTACCAGATGGTGTGAATACTATTGTAGGTGAAAGAGGTATGATGATTTCAGGTGGGGAGAAACAACGATTAGCAATGGCTAGATTATTATTGAAGAAGGCCCCTATAACCTTTTTCGATGAAGCAACATCAGCTTTAGATACTCATACTGAGCAAGCTTTACTTAAGACAATCAGATCAATTTTCAAACAGAATGAAAATACCAATATTGCAATTGCTCATAGATTAAGAACGATTGCCGATGCAGATAAGATTATTGTTTTGAATAAAGGTAGTGTCCAAGAAGAAGGATCTCATGCTGCCTTGTTGGCTGATGAACATTCATTATATTCACAATTATGGAACATTCAAGAGAATTTGGATATTGAAAAGATGTTAAAGGAAGAAGAAGAAGAGAGATTAAGAGAAGAAAAAGAAAAGGAGCAGAAGTTATATTCGGGGAAATTGCAAAAATTGTAAATAGGTTTATGTTAGTTTTTATAGATGATTCAAAGTCCATAATAGATCTTTTTTTGGAACCGTCCCCCCTCAACGATTGTAGATCGGGATTTGATTGATCATTTTTTTTTTCTTTAATTTTTAGTTTAAAAAAAGAACCATCGTGGGGATTCGACCAAGTTTTTTATATCTTTCTTCTTTATCAATTTATTTCATTGTATCAAGTCAATTGAATCCAATTACCAGTTATAAATAAACTAAAAATAAAATAAAATGTGTAGATCAGCTAAGTGTCCTTCTTGTCGTATGTATAACTAAAATGAGTCAATAACTTCTGCTTTAGGGACAGACAGGAATTGATGGTGATAAGAAACCTAAAAAAAAATAGGGAGAAAAAGATAAATACTAACGAGAAAATCTATATTTAGAAGGTAAAACATGGATGGGTTGTGGTCAACATGTTCCATCTGCTATGAGTTCAGCTCCAAAAGAAGAATGGTGTACATGTGAATCTGCAAGTGGTGCCGAGCTTAATGGATATCCACCAAAGCTGGGTGATGGTAAGGCCAAGGTATAAAAAACTGTGTGTGACTAAGCCAAAAAAAAAATAAAGTTAGTATGGAAAAATAAGATTTATCCGCTAATATTTGCTTGAGTTTTATATTCCCATTGTTTTACTTAAAACAGAGATACGAATTCACACATTTCTTCGGTTTAAAATTACCGTTTTCTGTATGGATAGATAAACGTCTTTCCATACTTAATGATGAGATATAGTCATATAGTAGTGTATACCGCGTTTAAAATTCGAATGTATGCTTTTCTATTTTTAAATGTGTATGAAAGACAGATTAAGCTTGTATAGTTCTTGGCTACAAGCGTGGGTTTGTCTTCAGTTTAGAACAATCTAGAAGATACTTTGTAGAGGCTGTATTGATTGTCTTTTTTTATATTTAGCCTAATTGTTTTACTCTCATTTTTTGGTGCCCCTTCTTTCCCCTTTCCTTGTTAAATTTACACCGAATAAATTTGGTAAGAGAACGACACTAACTAGTTACATGTGAATTTTCATAACTAAGCACTCCTTTGAACCCCGAGGTCGACACGCCAAAACTAATAAATCGACAACTAAGGCGTTGAAAAACAAAGGCGAGAGAACAAGGGGGGGTGGTCGGTTACAAACTTCGAACAACAAAAACTTAAAACAACGATTTCTTCTATTCTTTCTCATACTGATATAAATAATTATCGTGTTTTCTTACATTTTGTAAAAAGTGTGTTTCTCTAACTGTAATTAACAACACACTGCGAAACAAAAAAAAAAGGGAGGGAGTGAATTTTGTGAAAATTTTTTTTTTATTGTGTGTTTTAATTTCTAATCTGTAAAAAATTTAAATTTAAATAAATTTACAACAATTTGCAAAAATTATAAAAACACATATAATAAAACATCCAAACAACAACACCAACCACCAATTCACCACCACCAACTCCTTTCAAAAACCACTCAATTCAGATTTTTATAAAAAGTATATAAATAGAACACTAATAGACTTATATCCAATTTTAGACATATAGACATCCCCCACCCCCCACACACTTTTCAATAGACTAAGTTATTTTCTTTAGATGAACTTTCAATTTCAATATCCCAACAATTCCAATTCTCATTCAAGTTCGATAAGAAACAAATTGAAGCAACTAAAGAATGAATTGACAAAACAATCATCAACAAATAATATTGCAACCACAACAACCATCTCGGCCTCGTCAGCAACAACAACCACATCCTTAGTCTCAACACCTGTAACAAACGCCTATTCATCTGTATCCGCAACTTCATCTCCTACCATAAAATCTAAACGTAGATTTCTCAAAACAAGGAGGGCTAATTCGTTACCTGCAGAAATGGTAATACCAAAGCAACAACAAGAACAGCAGCAACAGCGACAACAACAACAACAAGAACAGACCGAACAGCTTTTACTTTCTCCAATGACAACTTCAACAACCTATTTGCTTCAGGAAGAAGAAGAAATCAAACCAAACAATCATATGGCTCAAGAAGAGAATCTTATACCCCCATTGCCTCCAATTCAGAACGTATCCTTCCATTCACATCATCAGCATAGAAGTTCCCAACAATCATCAATTTACAGTACTTCCACCGAAGATCAAATTCTTACACAACACAACTTCTCATCATCTGTATCATCTGTATCTACCAATGGTGACGAAATTGAAGCCGAAAAGTATACGAATGAGCTGAAGGAAAATGAATTAGAGTCAGAAATAGAAGAGGAAGAGGTTGATAAGTTGGCAAATTCAATACTAAAGGTGATTAAAGTAGATAAGGATATACAATGGGGTATTTAGATTTTGGGTTAATTGGTTTTCATATACAACTTTGATTTTTCAGTTTTTTCAAACAAGTTTGTTTGGTTTATTTTATTTAAATGGTGTTTACGTTTTTATGAGGTTAAGATTTTATATTATTCATTTAGTTCATTGGTTTTACAAGTAACAGGCTTTTACTTTGGTTTATTTAGAAATATTGTATTTAGAGATAATGCATATTTGTACATATGTCTCTCTCTCCCTCTCTTCCTAGTAGCATCTTTATTAATTGTAATTACTGCATGTATCTGTGGAGGTAAGTTCCCCTTTTCCCATGTAAAATCCGGTTGCCAAGCTTGCTGTTTTTTTGTTTTGGCAGCCAATCAATCAATTTCTCAACCACTCGGAGTCCTTGGCCGATTTCCCCCTTTCAAGTATGAATCGAAAAATACTAATTAAGCGGATACAAGATCATTGCACTTGATCCGTTTTGTAGGGATAATGTCGCTGATGACAGTTTTACTTTCTATTTGCGATTCAGAAGTATGACATACATTGCTACTGTATATTTCTTAAGATTGTTATCGCCGTCGGTAGATATAAAGTCAGTCACCTGTACTTTTGATTTTTTAGCTTCTACATAGTTAAGAGCGTTTTACAGCCCCAATCATTTCACACTTCTAAACTTCCAAACAACGACTCGGTCAGTAGGTATTATATTACACCCCAATAGATTGAATTTATAGTCTTATTCATCTAATTTAACAAAAAATGTGGAATCTGTGGATAGCGATTTTTTGTTCGTTTAATGCCTGTTCTTAACTATGTAAAAATCAAAAAAATACATCGGCTTCCACAGATTCCACATTTTATGGTAAAGGTGACAATTAAGCCCCATACACTCAATCTATAAGGATGGCTTATGCTGATCACCGAAGAAGAAGTTATTTGGAAGTTCAGAAGGGTGAAATAATTGGAGCTCTAAAACGCTCTTAACTATGTAGAAGCTAAAAACGGTCAACTCCTTTTACTCTGCATCCAAGTGTCCTCTACCAACACTTTTCATGAAAGCATTTTTAGGTCAAGAGATGCCCATCGACCATAAGATACATACATAGAGGTCTGAAAAGAGAAAGGACCGTACGTTTCGATGTATGGCTGTTGAAATTGGAAACATTGGATATAATTGGCATATAATCGTCGTTCTTGTCATCTATAAATACAACTTTTACATAGCTTTCAGCTGATTGTTCAACATATGACCTTTAGTCAATTTTATATTGCTAAGAATGTGTCTAAATACTAAAATGGTTGAGATAACGGTGTGTAAGAGAGTGCAAAAGAGCATTTTTTTCTAGTATCACTAAGGAGGAAATCTACTTTACGCACGACTTAACAGTAATACTTAATTGGATAGATCCTGATAGGCTATGACATCTTCTTATTGAAATGCATTGCATCTGAATATAAATTAAACGGTTAATCTCTTATAGAAGGGATCGAATCACAACTATTTATAAGGTTGCAAAAAAACTTTAAATCTTGATAAAATGATTGCAAATTTTATCAGAAACTTATCATTCATAGATTACCTCTCTTTTATAGTTAATTGCTTAAACATACTTTTTAAATACAGTAAAACTAACATAGGAAACAGTATCCAAGTTGGGAAAAATCTTAAAGATTCCCTTTTATTATAGTTTTGACGAACAATCTGTTGAAATAAAGTACCATTTGCTGCAAAAAATTGGTCTTACAATCGCTTTTTAATTTTAAGTAAAATAAGACCAAATATAAGAAAAACAAGCAAATATTGCCATAAGCTTAATGTAAAATTGGAATTATTACATTTTACTTTAAATTTCATAAGTTTTAGCATAAGTAAATCTCAATTCCCAATGCATGGGTCGAACATTAGATCTTAAAATTACAAAAAAAAAGACAATTTTGCGGTGCATGATCTAACTAACTGTGCCAAATGGTGGTGAGGTGCATCAAAAAGTCTTACCGAATTGGGTGATCGCGGCATTTCACGTGCAAATCATGTGACATAATGCACGTGACCTAAGTTACACAAAACCAGAGGCACGTGAAAGTCACACGAAAGTCATGTGAATTTTGTCATGTGATCAAAATCTAATTTGACGTCAAATCGGCTGTTCCACTAGGTCTAATGAAGAGGGTCTATACCCACTGGTCTATCTCATCATGTATCTAATAATACATATCAATTTTGTCATCAATACTGAGGAGTTGACCCATTTGTGAAAATTTCCTTAAATGAAGTTCTACAAGGGTTTCAGCTAAACTTGAACCCTTCGATATTACAACATAAGCTACTGTCAATATTATAATTAATTCAGGGGATCCCATCGCCAGTGCATTTCCTTTTATTGGCGATTGAAATCTGGGTTGAATTTTGCCTTTGTGGTTAAAGACTTTGCTTTTGTGGTTAATGTAGTTTACAAAAAGGAATTTCTGTGGCCGGCTAATTTTCGATCCTCATCCAATTTGCTTCAAATCATGCGGAAAGTAATCTCCCTTCTTTAATCATTACATTCTGATGTTGATCTATCAATTTGGTTAACATGTGGTTGAAATAATGCTTGTTGAAATATCGATTTGAGGTTGCCAAGTTTACAAAAAGAAGTCCACAAAAAGGAATTTCTGTGGGTGGCTAATTTTCAACCCTCTTCCAATTCGCTTCAAATCATGTGGAAAGTAATCTCCCTTCTCTTGTCATCACATCCTGACATTGATCTATCAATTTGGTTAACATGTGGTTGAAATACTGCTCGTTCAAATATCTCTTTGTGGTTGCCAAGTTTAC